CTGGTGGACGCACCGATACTACAGCATTATTTTACTTAGAAGAAGCATAACCAGTAAACAGGGCCTTTTGTACAGGTTTAATGGCTAAGGTTAGTTTGTTACTGTAATATAATTTTAATATCCAAAAACAACAAAGATTTAATAAAGATTTGAAAATGAAAAAGGGACATACCACGTGACATAACACGTTGTGTAGCCATTTCCTTACTGTAATTTTTTTTTTTATTAAACAACAAAGAACACACAAAATGATACAATGTACAAACAATAAGGCGTATTTCAAACAAACAAACAAACTTGCATAAAAGAGAGAAAGGATGGGTGCAAATAAAGATAAGAAATTCCTTACTGTAAAATTTGTATTGTTAGTGTTGATAGTGTTCGATAGAAAATAGTGTCACTAGCGCCCCYTTCATTTCCGGAATGCAATAGTCCCATTTCCATATAAGGTATGGGACTGACGGAAAGGTCTGTCACCGCCCCGAGCTGCATGCTGCAGCGAAGTGTACTTGTTCTCAGCAGGTTTCTAAGGTTCTTCTTCTACATATTAAAAAGTTGTTAAACATCTGAGTGGTGCACTACTGCTACTAGTGGTGAGAAAGTGTATTGCACCTCATTTAAAATCAATGTGGTCCCACGGCCCTCTGTGGCCCAAAGTTAAAAACTGTTGTTCCTTTGAGACCCTCAAGGTGGCGCTGTGGGCCGCAGCCCACAGGTTAAGAGTCTCTGATTCAAACTTTGCACATTAACTCAGTTTAAAGACCATCACTGCCTCATGCAGGCATCAGAGGTGGGCTGAATTCAGCCCCTCACCACCTCATTCAGAAATCACATTGAGGCCAGCAGAAGGACTTGAAGACCACCTGCTTGGTCTTCTGTGAAGGTCCTTGTGGTGACAGACGTCTGGTCTGGAAAACAAACTCACATGGTGTCATGTAGGGCTGGGCGATACACGATATCTATTATAATGACACCAAAAAAATCAATAAAAACAATTAAAACGGATCCAAAAATATAAATACTGAATCTGAACAAATGTAAATGTTTTATTTTAACCAACAGTGTCACAAGTTTTTCCACAAATGAATTACAGTATTGCCACTGTCTTTTTGTTGTCTGCACTCTAGAATCTAGATCTTCAATAAACTCAAAAATTAATGGACCACAGCAGCAAAACATCAAGTGAAAGAGAAAAATAAACCTTCAAACTTAAAAAGGTGCTCTTGTGCTTTTAACATAAATGTAAAATCAAAAATGTGATGTCTTTAAAATACAAAAACAAAACCCAGAACGGCTTGTTTTGCAAATTACCGCATTTTGTTCGTCGTCTTTATGAAATCCAAACCACTGCCAGATTATTAATCCAGTGCAGTTTAACTTCTGAACTAGTTAATCTGAGTTGTCTTCAGTTTTAGTCTCATTCACACGCTCACCTGAACCTCCTGCTGCCGCCATGTTCTTCCTACGCTCCTCTCTGTAGCCGTTTCCATTTGAAAATAAATTTGCTCAATGGAAACACGTCAGTTTAGAAAAAAAACATACGTTTTTGATAAAATGTTTTTGCATTAGGATGAGGTGGTTTTTTGGTCGTATCAAAATAGGTGTTTTTCACAAAACTGCAATGGAAACACCTTTTTTTCACATCACAGGAGTCACGTGATCAACAACCGTCTGTTTCTGTTGACGAAAAAGACGATGAAAAGAGGAAGCCGTTCCCAAGTATAAGGGTCTTGTCACTCGAAAGCCTCGATAAGACGCAGACGATGAGCGCTAGCAACATGCTATGTGTTTACATCCATCGCTGCCATGTTTGTAATGACTTATCATGAGAACAAACGTATTCACGTGACTTTAATAACATTTATTACTTAGTGGAAACACTGCAGTTGTGAAACGTGTTTTCGACATTAACACAATATTGACAACATTTTGCGCACATTTGCAATGGAAACACAACTTCTGTGTCTAGAGGGGAGGGGTCTAGTGATGCATTCAAATGTATCGGAAAAGCAAAACTTGTTTATTGTTTGCATGATAATTTATACTCTGTTCACGATGAAGCCATTTGTGACCCGTCGCATTGAAACGAGGATTAAGTCTAAAAGTGGGATATGAAGAAATGGGTAAATATAGTGTTTTCATTAAAACGTTAGCAAAAGTTGAGTTTTGTCAAAATATAATGAATAAATGTCTTATCAATGTATTACAATGAACTGTCTGAAATATAATCACAAAACATTTTGAAGCACTTTTTTGAGCAGTAGCAAAAAAAACCTGATTTTGATTAACAACACCTTAAAATGTTGAGATTTTCCCTGTGAGTTAGTAAAGTTTTATTTCTTTTTATCTGGTAAATCTCACTATTGAAATATAATTTG